TTTTAGGTGGGATCACACAGACCTTGTGGCAGTGCATTCTGGGATTGGCTTCTCTGCAAATGATGCATATGATGCTGCTTTCAAATTGGACTAAAACAAGGTATTTTAAGACATCTTAATTATACATTACACTCAAGACATGTTTTTTTTAAATGTATTATTTATTTATTGCTGATTGTTAAATTTACTTGATTAAAGTGATCTAATGCAACAATTTGTAATTTATTTTGTGACCATAATTTAATTGTATTAAATCCACTTAATTTTGTAAAATGAGAGCTTACTTAATCCATTTGTACTGGGACTACAATCTCTTTTGTTCCATTAAAACTGGGTAGTGGATTTCTATTTCCTAGGAATGAGTAAATGTTGATGCATTAGCATTTAGCATGCTTATTTTCTATTTGTAGCTTGTACTAAAAGATATTTGTTTGAGTTAGTTAAATTTAGTGGTGCTTATGCTGCTTTCAAGTGCATATTGGAAGGTCGGACCTCTGAGTCAGGCATTCATTTTTACAACATGGCGTACAGTCAAGTCTGAAAAACAACACAGAAGTATAGCCTAAACAAAACAAAAGAAACACATTGTGAAGCGTAAACCCAACCATACATCTCGGCCACTCGTGTATCATCTATAATTAAATTAGAAGTGAATACAACTTCACTTGGTCATTCATGTGCTCGGAACTCATAATTACGATATTTCCAACTCCACTTGAAGAGCACATTACTCAGTTATGGTATTTTTCCACTACATATTCTACTACAAGAGGTTTTTGAGTTGAGTCTGCATGGTTAATTTATATGCTATATATTTAAAACTAATTTCCAAAACCATTTAATTAAGCCACTTACTTACCATTTTGAAAAAAAAAAGAAAGTCCTTTCACATTGGGATTAAGTGATCTATAAGTGATCTTACATGTTTTACATTTATGCAGTTATGCATACAGCAGACACTTTTATCCAACGGAACTTGTAAGTATATTCAAAGCATACATTTTTTTTTTCAGTTTCATATTCCTTGGGAATCTAACCCATGACCTTGCTGATGCAACTCCTAGTTTTTCAGAAAAACCTGTTTATATGCACCGCAGAATCACATTTAATCAGGCTTTCCGACAGAGTATCTGAACAGAGAGGTCCCCAGACACACTGAACTGTTCTTTCTACGTAGCGATATTTCTGTTAGAGAACTCTGTAAGCAAGGATGATCTGAAGCGGTGATTTCAAACAGCCCAGAATGCTTTGTGTCTTTTTGATGCATGCCTCCACATCTATTGTGGAGGCCTGATAAATTGCTTAATGCCTTTTAAATCTGCCACTGCCATTGCGCTGACACCATTGGGCTAAAGGAAATATGTGGCACCCCAGTATGAGAAATTTATGAGTTTTGTCAGCATTCATTACGGCCATTGCCTCAAGGCAAAACAAAGGGAATTCAACTGTCTTGGCTCTCTGTTCCTCCTGTGGTTCCCCGGAGAGTTCAATGGCACACAGCGGTCAACCTGCACACACAAACAGACACATACACAGGCTCACAGTGGATAGGATTTGCGGTTCAGTGCTCTTATGTGCTACAGGGATCAGGCTGAGCTGTGACCAGCTACAGCTACAGGGAAGTTTCAATCATCCAATATACCATCTCTCACATTTTCGTGTTTTGTATGATTTATGTTGGACCTAGAAAGATGGAAAAATTCATAGAAAACCAATTGTCTGAATGGACTGTTTTCTAGAAGGGATCTCTGAACGTGTCAGAGTGCCTGAAGAGTTAGGGATGCGTGATATAGTGGCACCATATCAGTGGTCAGTCGCTATTAGATTTTTTTATTTACCAGTATCGTGGATATTTAATTGTTCGTGCTCATTTCCCAAACTATGCATTTTAGATTACACTCTAAAAAATACCCCATTCAAAACTGGCAGCTGCCAATTCAAAAGTACTGGACAGTGCTTCTGGTATTATGGCATATTGGTACCTGTATGTTTTACAAAATATTACAGTATATTATAAAAGTGATGTAATGTTAATATAACAACAATTTTACCTTAAAATGTGCAGATAACCACCATGATTATGCCTGGTGGTCTAATAGAAAGCCACATGATGAATTGTAAGTGGCCTGTTCATAAAACTACATAAAGCTACTTATTGTAATTAATAATTCATTTTTTTAGATTAACTTAATGTGAGCATTAGATGATGTCAAAGGTGCACTGTATAAAAAGGTTTTTACTGTAGCATTTTTACAGTCTTTTTCTGTGAAAAGTACTTTTTTTAATACCTTTGCCTTCATCTAAAGCTCACATTAAGTTAATTTTTAAAAGATGAAATTATTAAATCCAATGATTACCTTTAGCAAGTAATTATTTATTATAATTATTATAATTATTTTTAGCAAATCTTAAAATGTTTTCTTACTGTAGATTATAATGTTCTGATGCCTAAATTCCCTTTAAAATGAAAAGCACTTAAAGATTAATTCAATTTTTTTATTTTAAATTTATATATACAAAATATAATTTTAATATCTGTAATATTATATATTTAATGTCATCCTGATTCAAATGGATCATTAGTTGTATGCTAACTGTGTGCTGTTTATGGTTGCCAAACAATGTGCATCTCTGTTTATTAATATAGAATGTGAATCAGAATTCAGTCTATCCACTATAGTCTGTCAACTATCCACTTTATAAACAAGACTGTCAGATCCTCAGCAAGCCTTTTACAGTGGTTGGAAACTGAATTTTATTGATTAAAAATGAAGCCTGGGGATGCAAAAAAAACAGTCGCATACAACAGCCCGGACAGGTATTACCCAAAGCTTGTTATCATGCTGTTATACAATATCTTGCTGCAGTATTTGCTTAAGAACGTTACAGTTGGCAGCTTGCCACGGATAATAATATCAAAAGTGAATTTGATGCGTGGAATTCAATCGTTGCAAAGAAAACTGGCTGGCAGATTAAAATTAGGTTCTAAATGCTATCTGTGGCTGCCGTAGAATGAGAATTGACATGAAACACTTGGAAAAAAGATGCAAATAGATTGAGAAAATTAGATGGCATTCTGTCTGCTCGGTTACTGGTACTGCCATGGCAATACAGACAGGACAGACATTGTTCCAATCCCTGCACTTCTCTGCATTTTTCTGTTTATTTTTCCCTAGTTTCCTTTTTTATACCGCTACTAGCACACAGCAATTCTTTAGAGAATGTTTTGGTTGCAACCTTGGGCTACACTTGATTAAATTAGTGCATATTTAAAAGTGTGCAGAAAAAAATACAATTTTGACATCCTCTGGGAATAGAGCTACAAATCACTGAAACAATTTGTAAAGTATTGAAGTCTTTAACAAAATGTTTTCCTCCTCTTCATCATCCTCTTCAAACTTTAGAGCGCTATATCAGATGGAAATACTTGGTATTTTCTAGTTCTGAATAATTATAATTATAATTATAATAATAATTATTATTATTATTATATTTACATATTATTTCAAAGTATATTTAAGGTATACCATGGTATTACCATACCATGTCCAGATAACAAGTTGGTGGCCAAAGAAAGCTGGTTTGGTTTTTGTTTACAGCTTACTTCTAATTATAAATACTGAAAGCCTGTGGAACTGTAGGTTTTTACAAAATTATTTTAATATTAGGGAATAAGTTATAAGGAATAGTTCAGCCAAAAATGAAAATATGCTGAAAATTTACTCACCTTCAAGTCATCCAAGATATAGACGAGTTTGTTTCTTCATTGGAACAAATTTGAAGAAATTTAGCATTGCATCACTTGCCCAGTGGAAGCGAATGGGTACCGTCAGAATGAGAGTCCAAATGGATGATAAAAACCATTTAAAATGTAAATTTTTGGGTGAACTATTCATTTAGTTGGATGAAGGTATCAAGGCTAGAGTATAATAAATTTGTAGCCCTACTAAATAATTTGAATGAACAACATGTAATTAGAATCACCTGCAAATAGCTGTTCATATTGCTATTACAGTTAACTATAATAATATTTAAGCAAAATGTAATGTACACGGTCACCAAATTGTAGAAAAGACATTTCAAATAAATTTAGACTAAGAGTCAGCTCCACCAAAAAAAGTGAAAAGCAGGATGCTCAGGTGGTCATTTGCATTTTGCTAACTTAAGATGACTGACGGGTTAATGCAATGGAATGCAACAAAATGATTGCACTCATAAATCACTACAAATACTCATACACAGATGGATGAGTATTCGGTGTGATTTATGGGTGGGCAGCTGGACAACTGCAATGACATCGCTGTATTTTGTGGTGTCACTTATATGCTTGTTTTTAATCTTCTTTTAAAAAGCTTTCTATGTTTATTGTGTCTGGGTCTATATCCCAAATCTGTTTTTGTCTTAATACTCCATAATGGTGTGGAGCTAATGAAAAAAAAACAGTTTAAATATCACCTCTGATATTGGGTTGTGTTAAGGCTGCTCTGCCTCGCTCATGAACATAGGGGGCGCTGTTTGTGTGTGAAACACTGTGATGCGATAGAGAAAGGCTTAATGCGCGCACACACACACACACACACAAACAACAACACATTCTGCCCAATATATTAATTTTGTTTAAATAAAAGCACAAAAATGTAGGCTAAATATTGTAAATCCATTCTAATAAATTGTTTTTAATAGTGCTTTACTCACCTTAGAGTTATTATGAGCAAATAGATAGATAGATAGATAGATAGATAGATAGATAGATAGATCTTCATGTCAGCGTGCTGATAGGGTTTGTTTTGTCATAGTGACCGCCCGAGTTACTGTACATATTATGACATAATTTAATAAAAGTAATATTTCGCGCAGTTTGAATGAAACAGACACTTTCTGTAATTGACAGACGACATGTTAGCTGTAGAATTGCATACTTTGTGCGCTCGCGCTCGTTTGTGTGCGTGCGCAGATTCTCCTCATCTCATGATCCTGCGAGCGTCTCTAGGTGATTTAGCGCCGCCAGTCGGAAGCAGGTGTTCAACATGGCGATCTCGGGACTTGGATCTCACTCTATTTCACTCTTTTTCTACGTGGTTTTCGCAACGTTGCTGCATAAAGGTAAGAGAAGCGGAGTATGTATGAAAGCTTATGTTTAGTATCGAAGAGAGAGCGGTGTGTAAACAACATATGTAACACTTGCGCACGTCCCTGATGCGCTGCACTCGCAGTATGTGCACTACTCTCAAAGCTCTCATAGTTTATCTGCAACAGTATACATGGTAAAAGCTGTCATGTGAGGAGTTCTTCGGCACGTTTGACTGTTCTGAATTGTGTTTTTTGGTTGTTTAGCTGGAGAAAAGTAACGTTACTGTCCACATGCAGTACAGTACCCTAGTGCTGCTGATGAGAGGGACACGAGTCCGTATCACACAGCCAGAAGTCAGTATTACATGCTGGTGATCTGAAAACGGTTAAATGACTAAAAGATAGTCCTTATGTCTATGTAATACACATGTTTAACGCAGATTTTAAACAATGAACGCGCGCATTGCAGAATAACGACACAATTGGAGTGACATTGCGCTCACTTGTCTAATGTATCTCGAATTATATAGGCTACCGGTAATCTTCAGTTCTCTCTCAGCTCTTATACTGGCATTGTCATTTTATAAAGTCGTTTAATGTGGAGTTGATGTTCCTAAAAAGACTGTTTTCAGCTTCATTTGGTAGTTTTCCTGGCTTATATGGCAAACGCTCCTCTGTTAGATGGAGCATGCTGTGAGAATCGCTTATGGCAAGCTGTTTGAACATTTATAGCTTTATGCTAGCTAATATGCACTTTTATGTTATTAGTAGGCTACTTATTTCAGTTACCACTAATATAATTTCCACTGCTATCTTTTAGTTGCAAAACTATTTATTGGATACTAGACTAGTCACTATCCCAGTAGTAGCTATAGATTTCATAATTATTGAGTTCTATCAGGATCTGTGCTTCAGGTGTCAACTATTTACTTCTGACTAGTAGGTTTAGTTGTCGCTAGTGCTTGTTCAAGTTTTACTGTTAACTATTCATTATGTAGCTACTAGCTACTTCTTAGTTAGATAACTGGTAGTTATCCAAACTGGTAGTTACTAGCATCTATTCCAGTTTGACTAGCATTTATTAGATACAAGTATCTATTCACAAAACACTAATTAAACACTATTTCTTACCTAGTTTAAAAAAAATTGCCTTTTTTACTTGTCAAGGTCAGAATTGATAGTCCAATTAGTTAACTGCTGAAATACACACTTTAGTAATAAATAAATAATGTCCATTAATTGTTTGACTGAAAACTAGAATAGATACTAGATAAAGTATTACTATACAATTTGAATAGCTAAAGGTAACTTATAAATAATTATTAGTGCCTGGCTAATAGATAGTTGTAAAGCTGGTTAATAGTGTAAATAGTAGTGGAAAACAACGTTTATATCTGAACCACAGGTAGTCCCAAAGTCGTCATTATCAGGAAAGTGATTAGTGGCAAAGGAACAAGTACTAGTGAAATTTACATTTACATAACATTTATGCATTTATTAGATGCGTTTATCCTACGTGACTAACAGAGGAGGAGGAACAAAGCAAATTCGTCAAAGAGCCAACAATATTCGTAATACACAATGCCAGGTTTATTAGATAAATAGATTAGGAAGCAAATTGCCACTATTGGATTACTTGCTAGTAATAATCAAAAATACTATTCTACACTAGTATACTATACTAGTAACAAAAATATACACGTTAGCTTTAAGGAATAAATGTTCAAATGGCTTGCCGCAATAGCTTTTTCTGCCTCCTATCCATCAACAGGTTTTCCGCAAGATATTGGCTTTTTATGCTGTGTTCTGGAAACAAAATTGCAGTATTCTTTTAGAATTTTTTTTTTTTTTTTTGTGTGTGTGTGTTACCCAATTCATTCACTGCTAAAACCCCCTTTGTAATAGACATTTGTGGATGGTGCTGTCTGTATTAACAAAAGAGGCTTTTTTGTGTGTGAATTATGCTTTTGTCTGAGGCAAGAGGTATATATAGGTTTTCCTTTAGGAGACCTCAAAGCCACTTGTCTTCCTGTTAGTGCTTTTGAATCCTCATATAACCACCTAGAATAGTGTGTAATGCAAGACATAATATTTTCTCACTGGATTTTTCTCATCCATCCATCCATTCTATGTATACTTACAGGTAGTTGAAAGATTAAATACTTTGGGAAAGTTGATTTGCCCTGCACTGTAGCATGTTAAAATCCATTATTTAAGTATTTAAATTATATATTGAAATTTTTTTTTTTTTTTTTTGTGTGTGTGTGTGTTACCCAATTCATTCACTGCTAAAACCCCCTTTGTAATAGACATTTGTGGATGGTGCTGTCTGTATTAACAAAAGAGGCTTTTTTGTGTGTGAATTATGCTTTTGTCTGAGGCAAGAGGTATATATAGGTTTTCCTTTAGGAGACCTCAAAGCCACTTGTCTTCCTGTTAGTGCTTTTGAATCCTCATATAACCACCTAGAATAGTGTGTAATGCAAGACATAATATTTTCTCACTGGATTTTTCTCATCCATCCATCCATTCTATGTATACTTACAGGTAGTTGAAAGATTAAATACTTTGGGAAAGTTGATTTGCCCTGCACTGTAGCATGTTAAAATCCATTATTTAAGTATTTAAATTATATAAATTATTTAAATTGTAATTATTTAAATGCTAAATTATTTAAAACAGCATGTTTTGCTACTACTTGCAGCTATTTTGAGCACATATTTATTAAGCAACAACTTGGCATATTGAAATAAAATGTTCTAAGATAGTTCTGTATCATCTCTCCAACACATAAATGCTAGAAAGCAGCAAGTCATCATCGTTCAACAGGCAGACTGCAGTTAACAGCGTGAGCTAACAGGAGAACTGCATTGGCTTTAGAGGGAATATATATTCTCTTAGAAGAAATAATAGAGATAATAATAATTCTGATACGGGACAATTCTCACTGGCAAACAATACTTTTGTAATGAGATGGGATATTCATGTAAATTGCTTCATGTCAAGGGTAATTTTCAGTCTGCGTGACTCACAGGTAGAGTTTCCATCAGTGCGAGGAGCTCGAGTTGTAAATATTAGAAACACACTGCAGCTTTTGCATAATTCACGATGCCCCATGAAGAATGTTATGGAAGATGAATGGTCTGCCACTCCCCACAACAATCAGCACTAATTTAAAACCCTCTAAAATCAAACGAGAAACCTTGTAAATCATACCCGCAGAGAAAAGACTAGAGAGAAAAAATGCTCATATATGACACTTGCTCATATATGGCAGAGGAGCTGCTTTTAAAGTCATTTGTTGGGGAATTTCTGCACTTTTATGCTGAGAATGTCACATATTTGTTTCTCAAAATGTCCTGAATTCCAGCAAACTGTTGATAGGCAGTGAATTAAAATGTTTTACCCTTGGTGCATTAACTTTCTAAGATCGTTTGTTGGAATAATTTTCTTTTCTATTTAAAGCAAAGAATTTATAGCTCATTAGATTTACATTATCCCTGCTTAATAAGCCTTGTGCTGATTGCTAAATAATGCACAGCACTGCATTATGCTCCTACCAGATGCTAAAGTTGCCGAGATGGAAATGTGAGATAACTTACCATAGAAGTGAAGATGATGATGATGTGCCGTGAGAAAATGATGTTGCCCAGAACAATTATGATTTTTTTAAATCAATGTTTTTTTTTTCTTTTTCTTCTTCTTCTTCTTCTTCTTCTTCTTCTTCTTCTTGTTCTTCTTTTGCAATGTCATTAAGGAACTTGAATCAGAATAACTGCATCTTGCATCAAAGGAGTCTTTTTAAGATAAAGTTCAAAGCAGGCTTTAAGTTATATAATTTTGAAAGCTCAACAATTCTGTTTAATTTTGTGTTTGTGTATTTCAGTAAATATACAGACCATATTTGAATACAATTCCACAATCTGTTAGTTGACTCCATTGGGGTTATTACATATTGCTCATCCACTTATGTAACTTCACAACAGAAGCCTCTCTAGTGAGTCAACACACAAGTACAGGGGATGATGTGAAGCACTACGAAGACCTCTCCTGTCTTAGTTTTCTGTTTATACCTCCGTATTACTAAACATCAGTGCTGAAGTATCCTCTTGTCAGTGCTAGTCTGTGAGGAAAATGATGCTTGAAGCTGATAGACTATTGCTTCTGTAGGACAGATACCAGTTGAGCACTATGCAGCAGCACACAGTCAATTAGTGGTAACAGATTGAAGGAAGCCCCAATGGAGAGAGAATGCTTCATTCATGACACTGCTGGAGTAATGAGAGTGGAATATGATGAGGGGAGGGGGTTCCTGTCTTCTGTGATAAATATTGTCATTGTTCTCATTCTGCCCTGTCTTTCATGGACCAAGCTCATTGTCTGTCCTAGTTGGCAGAATTGTTTTGGCACTGACCATGAAAAAAAATCTAATTATGTTGTTTTTCAGGGCACAAAGTGCACCGCTTGCTTGGTTTACCAGCCTCTGAAGAGCTGCAGAAATCTATGTAGCATTGCAACACTGCTGACACAATTGACTGATTTTAAACTGTGCTTGTCATATTGGGAGGGATTTTGAATTATGGCACCTTTCAAATGTCAGTATTTTGTTTCCAAAATCTTTATTATTATAATATAATATATAATATGTATATTTTTATCATTACAATTTATATTTTATATTTGACTTATCGTATTGTACTTACAAACACACACACACACACACACACACACACACAAATTATTAAATATATATACCTTATACTTATTAAGTATTATAAAGATATTGGAAACAAACACTATAT